ATGGTTCGTAAATCTGCATTCCCCTGCTTTTAGCAACTTTTTTCTGTAAAAACATGCTAATTGGTATTTTAAAATGTTTAATAGGCGGGGTTGAGGCCAGTGTGTGAATTCATGACGTTCAACTTCTCCATGCAAGCGATCGATCAGGTTATAAACTCCGCCGCCAAGACGTGTTACATGTCCTCAGGTTCCATCGCCGTGCCCATCGTCTTCCGGGGCCCCAACGGGGCGTCCGCCGGAGTCGCTGCTCAGCACTCGCAGTGCTTCGCGGCCTGGTACGGGCACTGCCCGGGCCTGAAAGTTGTTAGTCCCTGGAGCTCAGAAGATGCCAAAGGTCTCCTGAAAGCATCAATCCGGGATGACAATCCAGGTGAACGCAGGCAGATCATGGCAGTACTCAATCCTGAAAAGAACATCTGTTTTCCCCTCCTGCCCCATTTAAAACAAACAAAAAAAAGACTGTTAAACCCTAAAACCCTTAAGGTTGCTTTACTGCAGCTTTAGGGTACTGACAAAGGCACAGAAGTATTTATTCTTTTCTGAACAGTCACTTGCCTTGCTAGCACTAGACTAATTTTGTTCTCTTGCCAGCTACATATCTTTAGTGGTGGTTTGGTAACAATCAGGAAACTTAGAAGCATTTATGAATCTATTGTAAAGGGGTTAAAAAGGGTGAAGATGAGTCAGGAGGAGTTCCTGCATATACAGTGTTTATATAACTCATTTTTACAGATTTTGCAGTTCAGATGATAAATTCAGAGTGTCGTTAATTAAAAGCAGGGCAACCTTTGTCTTTATTTTTCACAAAAGCACGTGCAAAATTTAAGACCTTCTTACCAACATACTCCAGTCCTTGTTGCCGTGGTGGGGTTGGTATCCTGAGGTAGTCTGCTGCAGGGCTGTTAATCATCGGTGCATCCTGTGCCTGCAGATGGACAAGTTAATCCAAGTATTTTTTCTTCTAGTTGTGATGCTGGAAAACGAATTGCTGTACGGTGTTCCCTTTGAAGTGTCTGAACAGGCACAGTCAAAGGATTTCATTGTTCCCATTGGAAAAGCTAAAATAGAACGGCAAGGTAAGCTGAGATGCAGTTTGTTTCCTTGTTAACTGGGCCACTTGGGGACTTTTTTTTAACCTGTTAGCTCTGCAGAATACTGGTGTCACGGGGCACAGAAAAGTATTTTGAATGTTAAACATTCAAATGTCATTTTTTGTCCAGTAGTATACTTACTATTGTTACAGACCTGATTCTCTGTAGCTCACCTAAAACTACACCGTTCTCAAGGATTTGTTCTGTAGTGCAGAGATGGAGTAGGTGATGGCTGAAAAACGTTTTTCCTCACCTCAGTATGTAATTTTTGTCAAAAATGCACTGTAGTATTTCAGCTCATTTGCTCATAATTTACCATGGAATATTATGAATGTTTGAAAAAGATAATCTGAAAACTATATTAACTGTGTCTTCAGTCCCCTGAACTAAAGGGTAAAGTTTGTGTCTTAGCCTAGTCCTTTGGCGACTGCTTCTCATACCGTGTGTCGGTGTGGAATACTTAGCATGTCAAATAAATGTAAGGAACTTGTAAATTTACAGGAGAATCCTAACATTACCTTGAAAGAAGCCTGAGGTCTAGACAAAAGCTTTAAATCTTAAGGATAGGTTTCTTTTTTAACTTTTGTTTTGGTTCTAGGAACTCATGTTACATTAGTGTCACACTCAAGACCTGTCGGACACTGTTTGGAAGCAGCTGCTGTACTTGCCAAAGAAGGTGTAGAGTGTGAGGTGAGCGAGGTTTCTGTTGTCCCTGAAGTGGGGAAAAAAAGCAGAGGGTCTTCTCGCTCAGGCTCTGCAAAACTCGAGTGTACTAACTACAAGTGCTTATGCCTTAACAGCATGTGCATTTCATGTTGCTGCATTTGACCTTTTCATGACAAAATTAAGGCAGAACTACTAACGGTTTTCAGATTGACCCAGCTGTATGGTAAGTAGAACCATGACAGTACGTGTTAATATGGTTGTATCTCGATATAGCAAGACTCACCCATCTGGGCTTTTCCTGCAGCCACCAGAAACTGTTCTGTAAAGTCTCTGCCAGAATAAAAAGTTAGAAGTTTTATTATCTTGTCTTCAGAGTCAGAACAGATGAAAGTGCTAAAGGGCACTGTATCCAAACAGTGGCAATTGACAGGGTTAGATCACAGCAAAACTCACACAGTCCCTTTCCCCTTTTTTTTTTCCCACAGGTTATAAATCTGCGTACCATTCGACCAATGGATGTTGAAACAGTGGAAGCCAGCGTTGTAAAGACAAACCATCTTGTAACTGTAGAAGGAGGTTGGCCACAGTTTGGAGTAGGAGCTGAAATCTGTGCCAGGATCATGGAAGGTACCGAGTTTTGTAATATACATGTTGATCTCCTTCCCTAGTCTAAGTCCTGGTGACTTCTTGGTGAAGGCAAAGCCGGGGTTTTATAGCTGAGGAGCTTGAGCCCAGCTGTCTTGCTCAAGAGATTTTTAACAGCGTGGATTCAGTTTGGCTTCTGTTGCCAAGAACATATACTGGAATATTAGAGCTACAAGAACCAAATTGTTTAAATAGATTAAGATTCAGAATTGAGAGAAAACTGTAGCACATGGCAACCTGACAGCTGTCTTCTGTTTCAGGACCCGCCTTTAACTACTTGGATGCTCCAGCTGTGCGTGTTACCGGTGCAGACGTTCCTATGCCTTACGCAAAAATTTTAGAAGATAACTGCATACCTCAAGTGAAGGATATAATATTTGCAGTGAAGAAAACACTGAATATCTAAGTTGTAAATACATGTTTTAAAGGCCTGCTTTACAAGTATTAATGGTGATGGGCAAGTTGTCTGCTTAACTTCTGTTGTATAGCTACATGAACTTTTGTACAGTGGGGAAAGTATAGTGACCTCCCAGAATATTTATACGGGCCACTTCATGTAAGCAACGATGTGTTAATGCTTGTTTGTTCAACAGTACAGGTGGGTTAGTGCTGCTGTACCTGGAGAAATCCTATTGTACATTTGGAGCGAGAAAAAAAATCGCCCATTTCAGCTGGGCTTGCACTTCCTGGGAAGTGCTGTGGTAAATGGGCTGTAGCAGTGGGTCAGTGAAGAACTGAAGTGAGCGAGAGGAGTTCAGCCCCGGAATGCTGTACAGGGCTGGGAGCCCCTGGTCACAAGGCTTATTAAAGGTGAATGATCAGACTGGAGTGGATGAAGCCTTGCTTTTCAGTTCTACAGTGAAGTGCAACTCTCTGCACAAAGCGGCTCCGGAAGCCTGCGGTATGGATTAAGAAATGGCCAATGTGTTTAGCTGGAAAAGCACTCCACTCCTGCAGAAAACCTTCTGCACAAGAGCTTAAATAGAACAGCCTGATTCTCTTCAGTATGCAATGGGAAGAACTACCTAATTTTTCTTTACTAGCTGCCACCTGCAGTGATAAAAAAATATTTGCCCAGATGCTTTGTTTTTATGTTGTTTTTCTCTGTTGTTTTTTTTTTTAAAAACAAAAAACCTCATCACTCGGGCTAACAACAGCATGCTCAAACTATTGTTCTTATGGTGCAAAGCATGTTATTTTTTTTCAGACACCAGGTGTCTGGGTCTGAAGCAGCAGGTGGGAGGTTGCGTTTGAAGAGCCGGGAAACAATCGCAGCAGCCCCGGCCTTAGCTCAGGGGCTGGTCCTGGCAGGCAGGGAGAGCCCTGCTGGCCTTTGCTCAGCAGCTCCCGCTTAGGGTGAAAGCTGTCAGGAAGAGCCGGCGCAGCGTGGCTCGCTCTGCTCCCCGGGCAGGCTGCCAGAGGGGAGACACTTACCTCTGTAAGCAGAGAGAAGGGGTTGGGTCCTATTTCAGTCAAGGGCCAGAAATACCTTTCAGGGTATTCGCTTTAGCAGAAGTGCCGTTGGGTTCTCGGGAGCTCTGGCTTGCAGGTGCCATCCTGGCCAAACACACCCACCACCACACCGCTGAAGGAATTCCATTAACATTTTAATAAAAATGACCGAATATCACAGGTTACATGAAACTTTGTACAGACATTCTCTGCATAGTAACAAACACTGATGTACTTGAATTTAAAAAATGGATTATCTATAATCCTTTAAAGTGCAATTTGTTTAAGGTTTAAAATCAAAAAAGATCTTTGAATAAAGTTTAAGCTGCAGAATTAACTTGAATAAACTTTGCATTTAACTAGATCAAGAATAATATCCCGCTGCCCTATTAACTCCCATTCCAACTGTTTACTCATTTAAAAACACTTTCCCTTAGAGTTACAGGTAGGATGTCCACTTAAACAAGTTTAATGAGACAGCATTTTTATTCCACCAGCAAATATGGTGGGAATAAGATTTAATTCTCCAGTCCCCTCACCTGTGCAGTATGCTTTAAGCAGGGGGGAGGGGTTTGGATTATCTAAAATAAAACTTGCAATGCAATGCAGCAAGGATTAAGATAAGTCACAGAAGAAGTGTTGCAAAACTGAACAGGCTAAAACAACATTCTTGTAATCTGGAAAAAAAAAAAAGGTGGAATAGAGCTAGGAAAAAAAGTCATTAATTCACCATGACCATGGTCATTCCCATTTTCAGATTTTTATTCAGCTATATAGAAGCTCCTGTACCCCTGAAAGCGTAGCTAGAGAACAGTTCTTGAAACCGAGGGAAGAATGGAGTACTGATCTCAGCAGGGCAACGCACTCTGTTACTCAAGGAAAGCTGAAACCGGTAAATGGAGCTAGAGCGTGATTAGCTGCTAGATGCTGTGGATCAGTCGCCGGTCAGGAGGGTCTTGTTCCCAGACAGCACAGGAGAGGGAGAGGGAATTCAATCCTGGTGTGACCAGTGGCCTCAGCTGATCCTGGGAGCGCTGTGGTCGCGCGTCTGTGTTTTCTTCAGAGTTCCTTTCTGAAAGTTTTGAATGGAGCTGAGTAAGGCTCCTCGGCTTGCACTGACATCGGGCTGCGGGCTTGGCTGCGTTGGCACCTCTGTACTCGGAGGAGGAGCTGCTGGTGGCAGGGGCGGCGGTGGCGGTGCTGGGGGTATCGATGAGGCTCCTGTTGAGTTGAGAAGATGTAGTTTGATTATGTCAAGGAGGTCCTGCCACAGAGGACTGCGGCTGCTTAGCTGGACTTGGTCAGTCCTGCACTAGTCACATCATTCCTTGAATGCCAGTGGAATGTGAAGAACAGAACGGATGAAAAATGCCAAAGTGATCAAATGCCTCTATCTGCAGGTGAGTTGTGTCATCTGAGACACCTCTGAAATGAAGCCTGAAGCGCCTCAGTATTCAGAGATGCAAAAACATGACTCAAAAGTGATCTTGCACTGGGGGAAATGGAGATCACTTAACGGGACTTCCCAGCTTCAGCTTGTTGGTGCCCAGTGAAGCAGTTTGCTCTTTTGGTCGTGAACAGGAACAAGGATTGGAAGCAAATCTTGCTACCTGCTCTTACATTCTGACAAAGGACCACATCGGTGTAGCATTTGCGATGACTGCTTTGTCAGGTTATACTCTATTTTTAACATACTAACTGCAGATAGAGTTTTCTAGAAGCGTTTTACACTTCCACGCTACTGTCAGACCTTCTCTGAACATGTTGTTTCACAGGCGGAATGAATCACAACCAGCTGCCACTCACACCGCTTGCCTGCCTCTCCTGTTCCCACCAGTCACCTTTGCACGCTGGCCCTCGCTTTTGACCCCAGCCACATCCATCTCACACCACTCATCTTGCCCCAGCCTCCACGTCCTGACTGCGTGGGAAGGCAGAGGCCACCGCAGCGCACACGGGCAGCCAGCCTGGTGGCATGGGCCGGCGTGGAGGCGCTTCCTGGCAGCTCAGGTCCAGGCAGGTGGCCTTACGGGCCCCAGGCAGCTCTCCCAAACACTCTGATCTTGTGCAACTCTGCTGCTGCACGCTGCACCACCGTTTCTACACTGGTATGATCAAAGATCCAGGCAGGAGTAAGAGCAAAGGGCGTCAGAGGTGACCGTGTGCCATTCCACCAGGCGTCCACACAAAGGTGGTGTCTGCAGCCCATCGCAAGTGATATAGGGAATGATGGGCCCATCTTGGATCATATATTCCAGAATGAGTAGGAGCGTAACGATCGATCTCTTAGAACTATTCAGCAGTGAGTTCCGTCATCTAGATGACAAGTTATTCCACAGTAAGACTGGAGAGACAAATGGCACCTACATCCTAACACTTGTCTCCAGTAGCTCTAACCCTCACGGAGGAATATGCTAGCAAGGGGAAGGAACTAAAGGACAATGAAGCAAAAGAACAGGAGGCCAGCCAAGAGACTGGTTACTGCAGTAGCACCGCTACTATGAAGTAAGCAAATTAACAAGCAGTTAAAGGACATTATGCCACATGGACTCAAGGTAGCTGATGAAGGATAAAGCTCAGCTCGTGAAAACAAAAAGCAGGCAGAGTTCTCTGCTCCACTTCTCTCTCAGTTCCTCACTATCACTTGCTCTCAGACTAAGAAGTATGATAAAAAGTAACTGCTGTAATTTAAAAATAAGTTATACTAGTTGAAAGTCATAACTCAAAGCTCCCTCATTTTGTATTCAGTCCAGTCTGTGAAGAGAGACTTTTCCCATATGGGCACAAGCTCAAACGGCAGCGTATTCACACAAAGCATCCGATTTTGCCAGTGTACATTAATATGTGCTGTGATTGTAGTGCTTCCAGCTCTTCAGGAGAAATTCTCCTTGGCATGAAAACCTTCTGTGACAACAAGAGATGGAAGTACATATTGGGCTCATCTTCACTCTTCTCCCTTCCAGAGGAAATACTCGAGTCCCAGTAGAAATATCAGAGATCAAATGAAACAATCTAACACGCCTGTTGCATGTGGATTAACTGGTCTCTTAAGTAGTCAAAACATTACACAACATTAGCACAAACTGAAATAAATTGCATATTGATGCCTTGGGGCCATCTAACTTATCCAAATCTACTTTTCACACTAGCCAAATATGTAAGTCAATTTATTATTAATAGGAATACTGAAAAATCATCCCCTAGATTAGAGTCCTTCTGTTTCTCATGTGTGTACAGAATGACAGCTAAGCGAAACTTGACGCTTTGCCAAAGGAAGAGTAAGACCAAGAACAGTCGAAATAACTTCTGCGGTTGAAGTGGTTAGAGCAAACACTGCAGGTCTGGCATACCAATGCTACCCGCAAAGTGATCCGATGAACCGCTGTGAAAGAGCCAGGACCAGCAAATCATGAGTGAAATGGCTTGAAAGAGATGCAAGAACTGCAGAGAATAAAACCAAGATTTTTGGCTAGAATTGCAAGGTGAGGTTGAAGAGGCCACGCAAGTAGATTTACAAGATGCAACAGGGAGTGACCATGAAAAGCGAGGGCAGGGCTCTGTAGGGAATTCAAAACCAGCTGTAACATGCACAGTGAAAGAATCGTAGACTGGCCTAGGCTGGAAGGGACCTTAGAGGTCATTTAATCCAACCTCCCAGTCATGGGCAGGGACGCCTCTCAACTAGATCAGGCAACATGTGGGGAGTTACACTTTTGACAGAGAGCGGAGCAAAGAAACCACAAAGTGCTTGAATCAGTAAATATCATTAGGCCAAGATTCCATGTGTAATCTTCAAATTTTGGTGTGATTACTTTACAATGGGGGCTAGAAAAAACATTGCATTATGGGGAGAGACCACCTCTCTTCCTGGAAAATTGCTAAATTCCTCCGGAGTCACTATTACCGAAATTGAGCTGCTGACAACATCATACTGTAAAACTCTTGCAAGACTGATTACTGACAAAGATACTCTTACACCTGAGCTCTGCCTTGAAACATAAATACACACAGGTTTCCAGAATAGCACCTGACTAACTGAGCATTTTATATTGAACCTATTCATTAAGAGCATGATTCTGAAAATCTGAACATCTTCAAATCCATTCTTTTCAGTTAGTCGATCAAAATCAAGCTGTCCTCCTCTTCTTGACAAGAGCAGCGCAAAGGAAATCTTACTTCACGCTTACGTACCCCTATGCAGTTACATCTACAAATTACATTGTTCTGCCCACCAGTGAAATATTTTCCTGTATTTACTAGAAATAAAACCACATTTGAGACAAATGCTCAGTTATCACTAGACCTTTCCAATACCTATGCTGGAAGAAGTTCCCTGCAAACACACATTTTACTCATTCATGCAGTTGTAAGAATAAAACACTCAAACAAGAACTTACCAAGGACTTTTTACAGGGACATTTTTGTTAAAAGAGTGTGTTAAAAGGAATAGGAAGTAAATCAGATGCTGTAAACTTGATGCCTGAATTGAAACAAAAACTTAATTATGAATTTAAAGTGACAGTAATTGAGCAAACAGCATTAAAAACTTGGCTGAGAATGGGGTGCAAACAAAGAAGAACCATTTTAGTGATAGAGTTTTAAAGATGCTGTATTTCATTAAAATGATCTGTAAGAATGTTCAGTTCTTTTTCTTCTATTCCCTCCCAATACTAAGCAAGTTCAAGATTTGCATTCGACTTTCCCATATAGAAACAGAGCATCTTTAAAGAGATAAATCAGCATTAGCTTACTTTTCCGAAAATTCACGTTCAAAATGATGCATGCTCTATTGAAGACAGCAGAGAAAGAGAGAGGACATAAATTAATCATCCGGTTCTTGTGTCAAAGTAAGAAAAACAGATACTGTTAGCTGAAAAGTTAGTACAAAAATCAATACTTTTTTATTCGGTGACAAATGTGAGGACAGCAGACTGACTATTTCATATTACATACACAATACTTTGATTCTGACTAATGAACCACCCATCTTCCACGCTATAAGCATTATTATACTCGATGAACAGATACACACACGCATATGCTTTCAGTTGCACGTGCCGTAATTCAAGCCTTATAGGATTAAAGTGCATTTAGAGATCTAGCAAGAAATCTGCAGGAAGCCATAGAAGACCTAATCCATTCAGTTCAAGGAACACTTCTTGTATTAACATATATATCTGCACTATGCAACACGGGTCAGAGACACTCAAGGAGATCACACTCAAATTGCCTTACAGAAAGCTGAAGGGCAGAAAAAATGCATCATATGGGTGTCTCTAAAACATGTGTCATACTGAAGCATTCAGAACAACTGGCAAAGAAATGGATAGCTGAAGTTAAGTACAACTCCTTCACTTTATTCCTTCAGAGAAGCCCCAGGAAACAAAAATGCATCCTCTAAACCTCTATTATTGTAAGAGAGCTCGCTGGTATTTTATGGGCTTATTGGATTTGGAGATGATGCAGTCAAGTTTCAAATAACCCAAACCACAGTGTTCTGCATCCATTCTGACCCCAGCCACTGCTTACAGCCACAAAGAAAAAAAACAGGTTTCCAAGAAAGCAAAGAATTGCGCAAGTGGAAAAAAAGAACTGAACATTCAAGGGAGAATGTCAGAAACAGGCAGTTACATCAGAATCACTTGCCAGGATCTAAACAATGTATTTCAAAGATTATATTTATCCGAGCCTCTGCAAGAAAATCAGCCAAAAACCTTCTAGTCAATGAGAAAAGCCCACGAGAACCTGTTTCTAGTAGACACCTCTCCCCTCAAAGGAGGTCGTGCTTTCAATCCTAGAGCTGCAGCTACCGTTACGAAGCCAGCTGAAGCCACTAACCATTTTGTTCCTTAGTACGTCTGCACTGACTGTACCAAGCACTCTGCTACAAGCCAAGTTTCACGAGGCCCTTGTTCAAGTACAAAGCACTTCTCAGCGTGTGAGAAATCCCCTAAACCAGGCTCCTTCTCCAGACATGTCAGCCTGGAGCCCAATCCCCCTTGCTCAGTGTCTCTGGCTCTGTACATATCTATCCACTACATTGATTTGGTTGGTTACAGGCCAGGACATGGGGAAGAGCTGTTGGACACATTCTCTGTGTCAGCTTTCATTTTGCCATGGCATCGTATCAGCAAAATGCTTTGAGATGCCACGACTCTAACACAACCATGATCAGACCAGAAAGACAGACTGAAAGCTTCACTCCCCTTCTGAGAATCATCTCACACCACACGGACACCCACAAGCAATTTTGGTTTAGAGGCAAATCTCTTTAGGGAGCAGAAGAAAACTGGAAGAGAGATACAAACTGCAGATGCATAACTTGCCACAAAGAACTGTCACAGCCTTTCTTGGCTGGGCCGTACCTCGCTTTCTTACCCCTTCAGGCAGTACCTTGTCTTGGATTTTATGTTCTAGAAACTGCTGCTGTAACTGCAAGTCTCATACTGGAGGCTGTGTTTCTATACTGTATTTTTGTACCACTTTTTGAGAAGTATTGGTAAAGAGTTTGTGTTTTTATATATAAAAGACAAAGACAGTCCTACCATGGGGCCAGCAAGTCTTTCATTGAGTCAGTAGTAGCACAGTTACTTAGAACAGCAATAACTACAACATTGCTGGTGAAAAAAAAACCACAAAAAAGCAAGCACACTAGCTTTCTCTATGAATTCTACTTGCAGTAACATTCCTGAAACACTGACTCTTGCCTTTACACCCATTCAAAAGGATCAAAACCACTGAAACACCAAAGAACCTTCCAGTTTGAATGCAGGTAGGGCCACACGCACGGACTCAAACGGGGCTGATCACCACAAGTCATCATGAGCATCACGGGTGGCAAGATGACCGACACAGTGCGACAGCATGGTCTGAACAACAGAGCCAAGTTTTGAGCCCAAACCTGGGCCATTTTTAGCCATCTGAGCCATGTCTACACATAAACCTATATCACACGCTCAGAACTTGAAAAAGCTTTCAATCAAGTTCCAACAGGTTCAAGTTAAAACTTAAAGGTAACTTTATTGCAGGAAAAAAAAAGTTTTCTAAGCATCTGTCCACTTTGGAAGCATAAGGTTTTAATTTGCATTTTCAGCTTCTTCCTTATTAAAGCATAGAGAAACTTGGACTAAACCCTCCAGCTAAGAGTCAGTACATCCAGAGAACAGCACTGTTATTGTGCAACACAATAACAATAATTATCTTGTTTAGACTAACTGGGAGAAGTTAGTTCATAATAGACACGCTTCATACCCTCAATGTGAAGGAGAAATGACTAATTTGAATTTCAGCATGACTGAATTTTATTACCTCACACAGACTGTGATGTCCTTAGGAAGACCATCCACAGCAATCACAAATTTGATTGCATCGCTTTAGTTAACAAGTCGTGCTGTGGAGAAAGTTCCCGGGACTACAAATCATATGGCACGAGCAATCATAACAAACGGTAATGCTACAGACTGCTTCCCTTCTAGAAATGTATTCCATTAACATCTTTTGCAGCTAATGTTTGCCAGCGCTCCTTTTCTGGCATTTCAGACTGAAGCACATTGCTCAATATTCAGATCTGTAATCAAACTTTCACGACTATTTCTATTGTCCACTCAAGCAGACTCCGCTAATGTTTGGGACAGGTGGTGGGAAGTGGTGAAAATTGTTTGCACAGCTACCCAGCAAACTGGAAAACAGAACAGACCAAAAATAACAAAGATATTATTTTAAACCAAATCAGTCTCTGACTTGTTTCTACCAGTTCTACTGGTGTTATCTGGGGAGATACTAAGGAGATTTATGCCTAAGCCACTGAATTTGTCACATCAAAAACTCCTGAATCTCCATCACAGCAGTACAGGTGTAAAGGGACAAAATACATAAACAAGGGATCCACAACCAGTATTTCAGAGTCAACAGACTATCAACATCAGAACAAACGGATACTGCAACATGAGGCCAAGAAAACGTCTGGGAAGTAGCAATGTTGGTAGGACTGGAGTATCAGAGACTCGAACCAAGCACTTACACTCTATGAGTAAATCATACCATGTACATCTCAAGAAAGGTAATTAAATAAAAAAGAACAGTATTAAAAGGTTCTCTGTGGCCCTCAAAAGAGAGCACATGTCCACACTTGTGCTGAGACAAGATAAATGTCACCTCTCTGTGTTCCATCCTTGAAAACCATCATCCTTTAACCATCTGTGGGAATAACACTCACAGCTGAGGGGCTGGGGGAAGGGAATTAAAAAAAAAAAAGGAAAAAAAAAAAAAGACAACAAACATTGTAATGACTCTTGAACTTACCTGCTGTAGAGGGCGGAGTGGGGGATGATGGAGATGTTAATGGGGAACTCGCCCCAGAGCCTGCTAAATAAAACAACAGTCTAGTAACTAAAGCTGTGACATCCAAGTTCAACACAGTCAGACAAGACAGAGTGTTGGAAACAGGCCAACTTTATTGACTGAGGATCCAATCCTGCTTCCACTGAAATCTTGGGAAAAATTCCCATTCCTAGTGTCACTCAGACCCGATGTGAACCAAGAGGCTTTACAGAACACAGCATCAGAGGAGATCCAAACACATAAGAAGCACACTCAGCAGTATTCCTCAATGGGAAACACTTCTTTGCTGTTGCTTAGGCTTTTGGATTTCAGTGTCCAAATTCTGTTCTCCTTAGGAGTTGTGCCACTGCATGGATGGCACCCCATTTCTCCTTCTAAGAGATGATTTTCAGTCAGTTGCTGCAGTCTACAAGTTACTCTGATATCTGGCTATTGCTCAGTAGGCTGCTTTTCAACACATATTAGCCAAGCAAGTCAACTCTGTTAAACTTCTCAGTAGTAGCGACCATTCCTTTTAACTAAATGAAGACCTATCAAGGGTTCTGTTGTTTTAGAGTTTGGCACTGAGGCAGCAATTAAACAGATAATTCTCTCATTCATCTTAACACCTTACTATAGAATACAAATCAGTGCAGAGTTTCTTCCTGAAGGCCACATTATTAAATGGCCCAACTAACGGATGCTGTTATTATTCCACTTAAATATTGGACAGAATGAAGAGACAGATTTTTTGAGGAATGGGGCACAGAAGAGGGGACACATTACTTTAAATTAGGCAGCCATAAATCTAACACTGACAATACTTTTAAATCCTTGATTTATCTTTCGTTAAATACCCAAGCCAATGGTATCAGGCTTTGGTAGTCCAATATTAATGTGTAAACTAATGGGGACCCTGGATTTATTAAGTCAGAAAATTATGGCAACAACAAAAACATGAACATAGCTGTATAGAAGCAAGGTCTTCTCTCTGTAGTTACCTGAGTTATTTGAGTTGCTGTATTTTGCTGAATGTTCTTCCCCACTTTCATAGGCAGAACGCTTTGACTTCTTTAAAATGGAGCAGAAGAAACAGAATTTGGGAATGAATAATCGCTTTCCATAAGGACTGAGCTGACACAGAGATTTCTAACAGCCACCCACTGCATTGCACAAGGTTTATCAATGCCGAACATCCCTCTCCCCACCCCACCCATGCTGCCAAGATGACAACAGCAGCAAGGCTGTTCTGCGCTCCAAAGTCTCCAGGCAAGCAACCAGGGCGACTCCCATGCCCTCTGACCACAAGGGGGAGGCAAAAAACCGACCAACCAAAAAGGAAGCAGCACAGGTAGGCACCTGTGTACGAGGCCTTAACTACAACCGTTTTCATGCAGCCTCAAACAGGTTAAACCAACATGCAAGTCAGCTACCATTGTAACTTAAACTTCTTAGGAAAACTATTGCTTGGCTAGAGAAAGGAAAACTATTGGAAAGTAGTACATAAAAACACAGGGCAGAACAGAGCAGTGTGCCTGTGGTTGTGCATGCTAAACATTCAGAAAAGATACACATCTTTGTCTGTGTGAGAAACCTATTTAAAAGATTGCTTACTTTTCGTGCTAAGATCTTCCTTTTCTTTTTTTCTTCTTCAGAGCCATGATGAGATTGGGCTCTCGTCAGCCTTCGGTGCTGGTGAATCTTCAAAATTAAGGGGAAAAAACCAAAAGAGAACATGTTAAGATCTTAAATGTTCTCAAATAAGGCATGGGTTTGGGCAACAAGAAAACATAACAGAACTTATGAACCACTGCCTGTGAAGCTGCATCACTTAAAACCAGTGGAATGCCATACAGTCAACAGCTGTTCTACAATTCCTCATACTGCATTTTTGGGAAGGCAAATCTGTTGAGGAAAGCCTTTATTACTCAAAATCACTTTTGAGTAAAACCTCACTTTCCCAGTGTAAAAGTGAAAAAAGGAAATGGAATGTCTGTGGGAAATACAGTGAAGAAACGCAGACATTACCAATTTCTGTTCTTCTGTCAGTCGCTTCTCTATGCATTCCTTGGAGGTTTTCAACGCTTCTTTTAGTTTACTGGGAATCTAACACAGAATGGAGAAAAAAAAAAATCATAGCACAAAACATGATAAAGGAAAACACGACTTCACTGCCCAAAACTTCCCATTCATCTGATCATGTTGCTCATCTAAATTCCCAAGTTCTGACACTATTCTCTTAGTGAAGGAGAAAAGAAGACTCTAGATGCAGGTTTTTCACTCCAAATCTAGCTACACATCTAATAGCATGGTCAACAAACAAATAACGGAAGGCACACTGTAATGGCAGAGACAGCTAGCTATTTTGATGCTCCAGCCACATCCCCAGACTGCCACGAGGCTGACCACACAAGGCAGACGGCACATGCCCTCCTGGAGAAGTGCTCTGAGGCAGCTCCCCAGTGGAAGCAGATGTGGCTCCCCAAAAGTCCCAGCACTGCAGCGCTGGAGCTGGCAACAATGTGCTGGTGGTCTCCCCCAGCAAAATCAGTTTCCACAGGTTTTAGGCAACTGATTTCCTCTCACTGCGAGGGACCTGCATTACTTAGCTGCCTCTGCTCAGACAGAGCAAGCTCATTTGTCATGCAAATGAGCTCCAGCAGAGGAACTGTGCTTGAACACTCATGGGTCACACCATGCCCCCCTTCTAAGAGGTGGTATAACGTTCTTGAGCACAGTCCAGATAAGGAATCCAAACACTGATGGCAATTGCCATAAAGGCAAATAATGGCAACTCTCCCCTACCCTGTCTGTCCATTAACCCGTAGCTACCCACAGTCTGTCACTTCCACAGACGTCAGCTCTACCTTAAAGTGTGGTTTCTCGGAGTTTGTCAGCAGGACATCACTGAATAATCTAGGAGTGGATGAAAAAAAAAATAAAAAGAAGAAACATTATTCCCAATAGATAGGCAGAACCGCATCAAGAATACTACTGGTACTGTTTGCTTAACTCCTGCTTTCTCCTTTTCCTTCTCTGTTCTCATCCCTAGGCCACTATTTGGGGTTTGTTTTGTTTTGTTTTGTTTTTCCACAGGTTTTTATGTGCTGCTTTTTATTTTCCAAGCATAGTGGTAAAATTAGCAGCATCCAACCCTCAGAATGTAGCTGCTACTGATGGTAGAGTAAGCAAGAGTATGAAGTATTTTGAAAGCTGATAGAACAGATAAAATTATGAAAGGCAAAGAAGGGTTCCCCCTCAAAAGAACATATTTTCCTTAAAAGTATCTCAATGCTTTAATGATAAAAGATTACCAGGGACTTTAAATTTCACCTAAACAATTGTTGCTTTTTTAAAGAAAACTCTTAGCACAACTACTCTTTTACCATTACAAAAATCATGTGAAAGATGAGTGAGTGAAGTTAACACTGGAAAGTATCTGTATTCTTGCCTGTGTTCTAGCAAAGGCAACTAAGTAAATATTCTAATATTTTCACTCTCCCCTCTAAGGTATCAGCAGCAATGGCATAAATGATTAATCCATTTCCATCCAAAACAAAGACACTAGAGGGCAATGGTAGTCTGAAAATAAACTGGTTAGTCCCTTTCAAGATACTTTGTTCCGGAGAACATACTAGAAAACTGTCCCAGAAGAGAGATCTCAAGTCTGACTCTGAGATAGGTATTTCAGAGACCTTTTGTCGCTGTTCACTACGGAAAATTATCACAGGTCTACACGAGAGAAAAATTCAAGTCCAGAGTCAAGATTATAAGAATAACGTTGCATGAAAGATTCAGAAATAAAATAAAAAAAACATAAAAGTTGACCCTTGCTTAGAAGGCACTTTTCTGTCCCTTTCTCATTACACACTCTTGTAAAATTAAGCAAACTCATAACTTTAATGGTTCTAATAAATAATAAAGGTTAATAAATATTTAAATTACATTAATAGCTTTACCTTACATTAACTGCATTGCATATCTACATGGAATGCTTTTGTGAAGAGTATTGGTATGAAGGGACTGTGGTATAATAGCCTACATATCGGACACAGCTGGACCTGGATTGTTTATCCAACATCTTCCAAGACCTGTATATTCCTGTACTCACAGGTTTTCTTATGGCATCTCTCCCCTGCTTACATTCTTCTCTCTACCTTCCACCTCCTTTAAGAGCAGAAGAAGGGAAGAGTGGAAGGAATTGAAGGGGGAGACAAGTCTGCTGTGACTCTTCCGAGCCAGGAAATACAACTCTTGGAGCCTGCTCTAAACGTGTCACAAACTGTGTGTGCCGAGATCAGACCCACACTTAGGTGTGGGCACTCTGTCATTTATAAGGTCATGACTCTGGAACCTTTTATCTAGAAGAAATAAAAGAAATCCCCCCCAGGAACTGTGGTTCTACACTCAGCATGCTGGTGACATGTCGCAGCCCGGTGACAGCAGACAATTTCCCCAGCAATACCATCTCCTTACTGCAGGCAGGTGCGAGCTCCAGCTCAGCCATGCACTGATCCTGCTCCCTTTCTGCACCCTAAGTCTTGCCCCATACCTGCCCTCACCAATTCTCTGCATTCACCGGGAGGACAGACCTCAAGGAAATTTATTCTGTCCATGCTTCAGGGAATCCCCAAGTCAGCCCTGCAAGAAACCAGCCAGATTTCATACGCAGACCCTGTCTAAATGTCACTGCTGAGCAAAGCAAGAGATGTATTTTGCTCATCATAAGCAAACTGACAGCAAAATCCACTGAAGAACTACTGACATAGGTCTGAAGGGGACGTGAAAAGACTCCTTATTCTAAATGCTTTAAAATAATCTGTACATGATCTTAACCATGTTCATGCTACTTTAATAGCTGGCTCAGTTTAAGCCAGAGCACTGTGCTAAATAAAATGCATTTATAACAGTTCCAACACACCAAGAGACAAAGAGACAATCACATTCACAAGGGATGGGTTTTGTAAAACCTATCAGTTTTAAAGCTTCATTTGGAATATACCACACATGCCCCAGAACGAGGAACAAGTCCTTCTAAAAGAAACAAAAGGAAAAAGGTTCTTCCTCCTCCTCTAATTAAAAACATTGCTATGAGAATAAAACAAGTAAAACAAGACTTACGGCATCTGTAAGAGCCGTGAAACAGTTGGCATGCCATTCTTCATAGCTTCACAGGTCAGAATGGATTCCAACACAGACACTACCAAAGAAAGAATAAGAATGAACACATTTTTGCATGGCGGGATAGCAAATGATTTAGAATGAACGTCTGGCACTGCTGTGTGATGTTCCTCGAAGTATTGCATCAACTAAGCAGCGATGAAGCTCTGTGGCATGTGGTTTTTATTAGAATGTTACCATTACACACACAAACTTTTCAAGAATGTGAGATATGAGGCGAGGGAATCCAAGTATCTAATTACTTGCTATACACTGCTTTATCATTTGGTTTTAAAAGAAAAAAAAAGTTTTATTCATGTGCTACATGTATTTCAAGAAAAACACATTTTCCATTTTTACAAATTATTAACTAATTCTTTCCAGTCACAGGCTGCAACGATCTTTTGCTGCTATTTCGCAGAACTTCAGCTGAGGCAAAAGATAAGAGTACCCAGGAAGCTGAGAGTGACACTTTCTCGACTCTCTACTAACCAACAAACACTGACGGTGCAGGAGGGAAGTTGTCTACTGGAATTGTATCTGGGGGTCTTCCGTATGTCATTTCATACAGTAAGTGTCCGAAGCAGTATACATCGACACCTTCTAAAGTCTGTGGAGGAACAAAAAAAAAATAAAAGCACAACTTGATAGAATTAAACAGTTTTTCACAACAGGTTTGAAAACATGCAATAACCCACTAAAGAAAGAGTGGCCTGACATTTGAGGATGGAAAAGAGTTCCTAACCACAACCATTTCCCTGCATAACTTTAGCTCACATGAAATCTTCACACCTCAGGCCAAAGAAGCTGCTGCTGTCTTAACACACGCGATGATACAAATGGGGGAGCAGTATAGTCATGTTCTGTAAACACACGTAAAGTAGGAAACTCTTTTCACACACAGCAGTTTAGAGCGCCGTATGTTGCCACGAATCACAACCGAGCACATTTTCCTAGTGAAGTCAAATAGCAAAGGATGAGATAGATAGTGTGACCAGCTGTCACTTCACAGAGAGATCAAGACAGCAAAAACATACACCAAACCAACCTAGGAGAGCCTCCTTCACTCTTCCTTAGGTTTGTACAAGCTGTACATACATAATAAGCTCTCAGACAGCATATTTCTGACATTTTTTGAATTATGTTTAAACAGAAATGGCTCCTCTTACTGGAAGAGGCTTAGAACTTTGATAGAACTAACAAATTTGGACTAACCATTAACTTTTGATGGTTTCTTTGACAACACAGTAGAACTTGTTTAGCAAGGTCAGCAAGCGGCTGTCTCGTGATGCTGTACGGAATTTATTAAAATGAGCACTTAAAGGCAGGGCAAGATGCTGGCTAAAAGACTGCACTGCTGCAACAGGACAAAACTGTTTTTATATTCTTGTAGGAAGATAACATTTTGTTTTGCAAGCCTGCAGACAAGAGATACCCTTGAAACAACCAAAAAACCAGCTTTCAAGAGCTAGATGTCTGCAAGTACTTAATCAATTTGCACAGCATCCACCAAAGATGAGACTGATTACTACTCCCAGCTAAGACCAAGTAACAAGCTGTGCTCATTGTGCAGACATACAAGTGCAAAAGTGTGGTAGTCACTGTTCCTGTGACATACAAGACCAGGGTGGAAAGAGATCTTAAACCAACTACAGTTTACCTCTATTTGTGCCAGCGCTGCTGCCATGAAAACACTCACCTGCACTCCCCTCCTACCTGCTTACCTTTGGCCTCAACCTCACTCCAGTGTGCTGCAACAAAACTTCGGTGCAGCCAGTGATTTGGAGGAAGCAGAAAAGGGATTTGATGGGGAAAAGCTCAGATTAATAAAGGGAGTTGAGAGAGGCTTTTTTTCATTCTAGTCAGTTCTCCACAAAGAGAAGGTGAGGACAGAGGGATGCATAGGAGAGTCAGATTAATTTAGTGCCTGAATCTTACATTAATTTTCCGAAACTGTGAAAAGTATGATCGATAAAATGATGGAAGTCCCAACAAAGAATTTTCTAGATCCAGTAACTTGCAGGTGTCCCCATCCAACATCACATTGGCAGAGTGAAGATGGCCGTAAGGAAATCCTTTCTCATGCAAGAACTTTAATACCTGAAAAAATCCAACACAGAAGTAGTCACAAGATGTTCTGATGATCTCAAGATCTTAAATGCTCCAATGCTAAAGCAGCTACATAATAAACAAGGCCCCTATTTGGAATTCTTGCTCAACCTGATCTTCCACCTACATCATCTTTGGCTGACTATTCAATTCCACTTCATGGGTAAAATTTCTCACAAAACAAACACTTGATGCTGCTCCTCAAAGCAGGCTCATAGACACCTCTCAGAGAGATCTGGAAACTAAAATTCACAATTCTACTGAATATTATAGTTTGAATAAACATTAAAACCAACATATTAACGACAATGAAATTATGGCACGTTCTGCAGGCTATGAATTGTTTCTCTCCCTTTTTTCCTAAGGAAAAAACTACATTACCACCTCTTTTCCACTTAAGCTCCACATGTACCAACTGTATTTTCCTTTTTTCCTGTTTTTGGTGGGTTTTTGGGTCAGAAATGACCTTGTACACACATATCTAAATCAACTCCCAGCAGTTAATCTCAGCTTACATTTAGCTTTGAACTCTGCTGCTGAAATAAAGCTTGTGTGCTCAAAAGTTAGTTTACTTTTTCTAGCTAAACCAGTTGGCCTCAAAAAACAAATCATAAAGGCTGATAAACAAAAAGTACCTCTAATATTTGCCTTCCATATGTTTTTATTTGCTGAAGTTCAAGACCTTGAATTTTTTTAGGATTGCAATACTTCTTCAGGAATGGGTCTTTTGGCTTTGCCTTTAAGAGAAACACATATGTCAAGTATCATGCCCAGAAAAGCCAGTGATTATCTTAGCTTGCTTAGCAATAGATGGTAAAAGACATGCTTTGGTTATTCCAGCAAACATTCAGTGGGGTGCGGGGGGAAAGACATTACCTTATAAATAAGGTCCTTTAGTGTCCCTTTTTCACTGAATGGTCTAATAACCAGTGCTGAAGATTCATTGGCAGTGGCAAAAGTGATTTTGTAAATATAGGGATGCTACCAAAAGAAGAAAAACTGTAGGTAAGTTTTAGATAACAGATTCCGTAATTCATTTTTGCTCAATTCACAAGTAAGAAAAGATCTGCCTGAACTGTGTATTTAAAGTGATAAGTTCGATTCTGTCAGTGACATTTGCTCAAGTTATTCAGCCTTGATCCAGAGTAAATGAAAAGAAAACTTCACAAGGACATTGTTCAATTTCCACATATATTAAATATAAAAAAAAATCCTCTATCTTTTTTTAATAAAACAGACTGGCAGTTTAGATGAATGAAGAATCCAGCCCTATTAGCATTTATACACTAGCAGCTTTACTGCAGATTTAAGTCAGGCTAATAAATTCATGTTTTTCTACAACTATGGCACATAAGGAAACTCGGCACTAATAGCTGTCATAACAGTTTTACGTCTTCAGAAATTACTACAGCTTCCTGCAACTTCCTGACACAAAACGAGACAGGACAGTTGGAAATGAATTACATATGCAGCACATACACCAACTGAAAGTTAGGAAAAGACCCCTTGTTCATGTTTTATTTTATTTAATACATCGGTTTCAGTCTGGTTTGGGTTTGAGAAGCCTCTTCTGTTGTGTGCATCTGCTGAGTTCGAGAACTGCACAGAGGTTTACCAGTCTAAATATCATCCTTTACAGCCAGCCTCTCACATGGTTAACATCCTTAAAGAGAAACTCCTTCTGGAGTCAAATGCCAGTTTTTCAGACCGAGATGCCTACCGGATTTATAACGTGGCATTGCACAGGAGCTTAAATTAAACAGTGGCTGTTGTACCTCTACTAAGATACTCCTGTTTTAAGTGCAAAGAACTGAAAAAATAACAATATTCATTCCACTGCTGCCTGAGAACATCCCCCGCACACAGGCTAGCAATTGCACCTAGGCAGCACTATCCTTCCAGCCCAAAAGAGTTGAGAAGCTGAAATAAAAGCTTGTGATCTCACAGTACTGCATAAGAAGAAAAAAAAATGCAATTAACCGCAACTCTGAATCTCCTGTAATAATTGTGCAGCATTAATATTATTTGTGCTGAGAGCATGTTACTTCATATTGTGTGGGAAATGTAATTAAAAGGCACACACATCTTTAAATGAAAGCAACTCCAAAATGACAAACTACATCTACTAGGCTACATATGGTTTTGCAAGATCAGTCCTTGACAAGCACTTTTGTGCTGGCACAATTTAAAAGCCTTCAAGTAATACTCACAGAACAGGAAGAAAGAAGTTTCACAGCATACTGTAAGTCTTTGTCAGACAAGTATTTATCAGGGCCAAGATCAGCCTGGAAATAAATAGGAAAAGAATGGCATCATAATACATGTTGCATTCCATAAAGAAAATGCAATCTACACTGTGCTCTCACAAATTAAGGCAGCTGCTTGAAAGCATGTTTTGAAGAGCAAGCACGGAAATTACACATACAGAATGAAACCTGAAGAGGCTGAATAAGGGCTTTGCAAAGTGTCTGACCATAAATAAGCGTTATCGCCTCCTTCCTCCTCCGTGTCTGACACGCATTACTGCCACTGAATGAACTCTGCCAACCCCAAACTGGGGGACTGTGTGCATTGTGAAGTGATAAGGCTTAACCCCCCCATGTTTTTCCTCTCCAGCAAAAAAAATTTCCCTCCTACGGCAGGCTTTAGCGATATCCGTTCTCCAGCGAAGTCTCACAAACAGCTATGCTCATATAATTAAGAGGGCAGCACACTTCAGCACAGGAGCATAAGCAAGTGTTTAGTAACAACGAACTGTTTGGTGTTGATACATGTCTACCTCAAAGGACCAATTCATGCCTCTCTCACCCATTAGTTTGCCAGTACAACAAGCAAATTCATGCTACAGTGAACAGCTACTTCACTACAAGTAAAGAAACCTGAGGTGCAGGAAGGGGAACAAATGACCAAGCACAGAAGTTTGCGAATTGGATTTGCAACCAGAGGAAAGAAACACAAGAAGTTCCCACATCACATATCCACGTAAGGGCTTTCAAAGCTATTTCAAAGCCTGAGCTCTCAAGTCTATCTCTTTGTCACTCATGCGTGGTAGTCAATGTAAATGAAATAAGCCACGTTCACTATGAAAGACTTGAGTATGAGATGAAGCATAGGTACCCAGCTTAACATTAGCCGTTCCTTTGGTTGATTCTTAATCTTCATTAAGAAATATTTCTTACGTAGTCGCCAACCTACAAAAAAGAAAAAGAGTCAGCAGCAGCTTTAATTAAACACTACTAAATCACTCAGCTTACAGGCAGGACAAGGTCTGTAAGCAAAGACAGCATTGTAATCTTAGGCCAACTTGTATAGTTGGAAAGAGAAATCAGACAAGTTTTCATTCATATGTGCTCTTCTTACCTATATCTTTTAAGGGTTCTACCACTTCCCACTTTGGCTCTGATCGTTTAACATTGAAACATGCTGTAAGGCAATTTCTGGAAAGAAAAAGGAGAAGAACAAGGGAAAAAAAGACAAAAATGTTGTTAAGAGACTACGTAACATAATTATCCACATATTAAGTAAGGTTCAATGCCAGAAGGAAGCCTACAGGAATTCAGACTGAAAGTCAGTAAAATCACTTTAAAAGGAAATCAGATTAAAAAACCACAGTTAAAGGTCATTTGCATTTTAACCTGATAACCCAAATCCAGAGAGAAAACAGATAAAACACTGCCTTTAGAAAACTTAGCTTACAGTCTGCATTCTATCTGTACTACATCTACAAGTCTAAATCCAATGCTCACAGATAAGATTTCCCACACTAGTTGTACACTGCATTAGATCATGAAACGTTTCTGCTCTACCTGTAAAAGCCTTTACATCTCTTTAATTTGCATCTACATCACTACCACTACACGTAAAGCAAGTAAACTTATCAGTTCTGTTTCACAACATGTTACTCTGCCCTGTTCTGCACAGGCAAGGGTATTTTGCTAGCCATCACGCTCTTACACACATTTCAGGGGAGTGGGGGAAGGACACACTCCTGGTTGCTGAATTCTCCCACAGCTGGGAACACAACTGGTTTATTCATAAAGCAGCTTGAGAGAAAATCTCAGCGAGAAGCAGTGACAGCAGGGGGAGAAAGGGAATCGTGCCAATAAGGAGTTTTCTCTCACAGCTTATCTTGGCATAGAAACACAGCAAAAAGGTAAGGATCCACTGATCTTTCTGCACTGTGTCTTCTCTCTCTAAAAATACGCTAGGAAAAAGGGAGAGCACAGTGCAATAAATACCAGCTCACTGCTCCAGTATTTAAGAAATGACAAACTGATGGTGTCCCCAAAGACCATAGGCAATAACTTGGTTGCTACTAATTTCTTAGCAACTTGCTGAGAGAACAATCTTGATGAAAGCACTTAAAATTAACACAGAAGTCACAGTGTCTGGAGCATTTAAATTGCTTGCTCGGCATTAGCCAGACAAATGGCATCCTTAAAGAGTTACTAATAATTTACAACTCCTCCACAGCTTATCATAAACATCCGGGAAATGTTCTTTGCACTTTGAAGCTGAAGACACAAGAATGTTACATAAAGGGAGAGAAAAAAAGACAAGTAAAAAGGAAGCAGTAAGTTCCTGCTTCAGCAGACTCTGTTTTTATGAAAATAAGCTTTGCATTTTGCAGAGAGTCAGTGAGCCCATGAACGAAATCTGTGGAGTGGGTCTCATCACTAAGAGGAAGTTGTTTTCAGTCTGTAAGGCACATACTTAACAACTTCCAACAGCTGAAGTCAGACAAATTCAAAGAAGAAACATTTAATAATTAAAACAAATGATCACTGGAATATTATTTTCACTGTTTGGAGGGAGAGGGTTTATGAATTACTCAAGCCTTGAAAAAGCACTCAACCTAGCTCAATCAATCAGTTCTAGGAAGTCTCACAGTGCAAGGTGTTAGCAGGAGCTAGACATGAGGACCACAACTGTTCCTGTTTTGAAAAAACTCAGAACTGTGACAACCGCAGGACTCGGTGTTCAGAAGACTGGATGTCTGAACAGAATGCAGAGCTGACAAACCTAACTCCACCTTCCTCTCTGCTAGACAAACAATTCCCAAACACCAACCCTCCCCATCTATCACGAACTGTGAAAATGTAGGTGTCGCTCTCACCACCTTCCTCCCTCAAGTTCTGCTTATATAGACCTTGACCCTCATCACTCCTTTGCAAAATAATTCCAGTATTTAGATTTGACAGTCACAGCATGATTCATGCACAGAGCTGGAGAAACATTTTCATAAATAACTATACGCACAGTATGACAATTTTGAAGGTTGTTTCCCCCATCCGCCCCCCAGGCTTCAGTGTAAATTCTTGCCAGCAATAATGGAAGATACGCACACGTGCTACAGTGAAACTGTAATGCAGTTTTATAATTTCTCACTTACCAGTGTAGTTTACAGAATAGTTGTTTGGGTCCAAGAATTTTTTTACCAGTTCACAGTTAGACAGTATGTGATGGCTAGTAATTACATCAAGATAAGCCTGGAGTCCCTTCTGTCTTTCAGCTATGAATTCACGTTCCATATTTCCAATCAATTTTTTTGGAGGAAGAGGTAGACTTAGAGTTGAGATCTTAAAAAGAAAGGAAAAATTACTAACCTTGCTCTCAAAATGCCTCAGGGATATAAATTAGCAACCCAGAAAGTAAAAGACCCTCAGCAGCATGCTAACTGCTGGATAATTCTTTTTGTACTGTGTATATACAAGCTTTCACATTTTTTCTAAGTACTGTTATCAGGGTGAGCTAGTCAGACAACAGCTCACGTCCACTGTGAAGAGATTAGTAAGTGGAATGACACTGAAAATGCGAGGAGATAAATTTTTGCTCGAGTCATGCCTTTAAGATCACTACACAAAACTTCCAGATACTAAGCAGCTACAATTTTCAGCCAAATCCTTTCAGTGACATACCTCTGCCACAGCACAAAAACTATCCACACCTTACCTTCTTCTCCAGGTAAGATTTATGCTTTCTTATTTCATGAAGTGCAGACTAATAACTCTCCTTTGCTCTACTGCCTTTACAGGTAATTTACTGTGAGTATTTTAAATCTAGGATTTCAAATATGGTGCAACTTTTCCACTTTCTCCTCCAAACTTGTTGTTGTACAGTTCTTAAACAGTTATACACCTTCAACCCAGAAACAGCTGTGATATACCAGTGGATGAACAGTAGTTGTTTTATGGTGACATAAGCGATGCAAAACTTCACATAAAACCAGAGAAATACTTCAAAACAGGACAATGAAAAAATGTACAGAAGTTCAAATCCTTATGTAAGTCAGATCAAAGAGATCATCGTGTTTATATTCAGTTACATCATGTGGATTGCCAGAAAAAAAATTTCATGTTGTTAACACATCCTTGTCCTGCAGATCAAAGCACCTGCCTTGGGTATGCTGAATCTCCATGGGAGTTATCTCTAAGAAATGTGGGTTGCAGGAATCAATTACACCAGATGCAATAACCTCATTTCTAAAGCAAACAGTTCACCAGGGAGAAAATAGGGACTTTTAGTGTTTGAACAACTTTCACTTTAACTAGTGGAAAAAGTAAAGGATTAGTTTAACAAACTGGAGCAGAAGTAGCAACCGCTTTCCTTTTTTACCTGCTTTGGAACACAGGAGTTGACCCCCGCTAATCTTAGCACTTTCCCAGATTCTGACTGCAAATCATGGGCTGAAAAAGAACTACAACTATGTCTGAATTACAGAAGACGTTAATAAAAAAAATCACCCTATCCATGGAGCCATTTTAATGCTCTCTTACATCTAAGTAGAAACGCCCCCCAGAATAATCCAGGAATAAACCCAAAAGCAACACTACAGCACATACAGACAGACGGTTATTCACCAAATTAGTTTTAACACCAGATGCATATAAAACTTTCACTTGGCTGACCACTCATACCTCAATTCAGAAACAACTTTCTAAACAAAAACTAAATACATTTCTGGTATCACTTGAAAAACCTCAAATCATTATCACTTTTACCTTCTTGACCTGACAGGGAGCTACCATCAGAGAGAAGAGGACTCCAGTTCAGATGTTTTTAAACCACTGTTATTTGTCTTAAAACTTACTTCAATAAACCACACACCTGCTACTATTCAGCAGAAAGTAACATTCCCCCCCAGTTTTTTGTAGCACTCTGCCAAAGCAGGGAGCACAGCGAGAATACGGTCCAGCAGAGAAGAACACCTCACTGAGGTGCTGACCTCGCATGCTTCCAAACAGGAGCAGAACTTCCCAGTGGCCCCAGCTCAGCACTGGAGCCAGGATGGGATTCGCCACAGAAGAATCTAGGAATTAACATCCTTATCTCCAAACCACAGCCCGCTCAGGAATGTCTGTTCAAAAGGCGCAATAAAACACTTCACAAAAGCCAGATATCTGGCTGCGAGCACTGTACCAGTAGTTCACTTGACAAAACAGAAGAGCAGCCAATGATCTCCACACATCTCTGTCAAATAAGCGAAGAGGAAGAAATGCAGGATGGTCTGGAAGGAGCTTTTCAATCCTGTACACAGCTGAGAATCCAGGGAATCTGCCTTGAAACTTTCCGGCACAGATCAGGGTCACAGCTACACACCTCTCCTTATTTTCCAAGGTGTTTGGTAGCATTGCATGGGCAGTTGTAAACTCTCTAACTTTACTATTTTTATATAGGTAGCACCAGATTAAGAGCAGAGAAGTTGCATTCCAACTCAACTGCAGCTCTGCATTCAAACACAAACAGCCAAGTCCACAGTGAGGTCACACATGCCACAAGAACTGGAAAAACTTGGGGCTTTACACCCAGAAGAAGCTTCAGCAGTTTTTCCAGGGACATTTTAGTTTTGAAAGAAAGACATTTTGGTTCGGTATTTTCTTACTGCTCAGTGCATTATCCTGTTTTAAAGGAGGGTGTTTTGTTTTGCTTGGAGTTTTGTTTGTTTACTCTAGTCTCAATATACACAAGATGAGTTTAAAAACAAGTCATGGGACCTGAATATTGTGATGAAACATCGTCACTTGGAGCTCTGGATGGAAAGAACTGAGGAGCGTTACATGTCATAACAGATGAGAAAGCTTCAGCTCCAGCATCACAAAGAACAATTTATAAAAAACTCCAAAACGGGGAAAAAAAGAACAATTTTCACATCCTTCTTGCCAGCTGCCAACTGCTGTCTCTCAAGCCCTGGCAAACAGAAAGAGGCTGGAAGAGCAGCGGTGGTTGTTGAAAGCAGAGCTGTGCGTCTTTGATAAAGGCTTAAAACTCTCTTCCTGCCCTTCTGCTGGCAGGTAATGAAGAATTACGCCTCTTAGAGCAGCTCTCTGCCCTAGCCAAAAGAGACTATCTCCACGAAGAGATATATCTTTGCCTTTCCAGACCGTGGAAAGTAAAACCAGGAGTCTGAACACCAAGGAGTGAGCAGTAGTCTTCACTGAAAGACACCGACTGCTAAAGAGCACAACCCGTTAATTCAGCTGCCCACTGCACGCCCTCCTATCCAAGTCAGAGGTATGTCTTGATGACTGATCTTTTCCAGCCATCCAAGCAGGTGACATTTTTGTCCCAGATCTGGGTATCTTCTATCTGCAAAGTCTCCCTCTCATTTCAAATTCTTCCCTGTCCCAGTCTGCAAGTTGCTGTCAGTCTCCTGAACTCTCCGCTTTTATCATTCACCTCTGTCTCAGATACAAAGGCCTCTTCTTTCTGTACCACATCATATATAACCTATTTACCTTGACTTTTCTAGACCTTCCACCTAGGCCTAACCTTTTATCTGCCATTTTTTAATTTTAAGTCTTAAAGGTCCGTTGCCTTTTCTACTAAAGCTGCTTCATTTGAAAGTTAAATCAGAAGGCAACAAAGCTTTTTCATGCCTTAACACATTCCATTCCCCAAGGTTAAGAGGAGCTTGTTATAGGTGGCTGTAAAAGTGAATTTTTTCTTCTCTTTAAAATTTGGTCAAAATTATTCCTCTGTGGTCTCTGTCAAAACTTGGCTATGGTTAAGACCACAATGACCACTCGGTACTGGAAGGACTAGCACCATCTCATTTACTGGTGTTCCCATTGGTGCTTACAGAACCTTAAATCCTGGATTTCTCTGGAGCAGGAGACGTCTTTGTCCTGTACTTATTCAGCACATCACACGAGATTTCTAGGTCATGGTAACAGCCCCTGAGTGCGATTGCACATTCAATAAAATAATCCCACAAGGCAACCACGTTGCATCTCTTCGATCATGACTAATTTGCTCCTGCATTCACCTTCTAGCATAGGAATGAATTCAACATCCGTGCACAGTTTTGTTCACTGAGGTTCATCAAGCCGATAGCTGATTTGATTGCAGTGGGGGAGTGGAGGGAGGGGAAGTGGAAGCAGTATTAAGCTCTGGAGTTCACACGACATTTAACGGGGAAAAAATTTCAGTCACAAAAATCTGTCCTCAAATTGCATAGCATTCATTTTTTACCTTGTTTGCCTAGCACTACGGAAATCTTGAGCCACGAGTTTCACTCCTGTAGATGCTACTCACTGCTGTGTCCCCCCTTCTCCCAGACACAGTCATACACCCTGCTTTTTCCCACACAAACTAAAAAGAAATATTTGTCCCCAAAAGCGAAAGAAAATAGACAGTAAGCCCAGTGTTTAACCAAGGAACACTTTCCAGTGATACAGAAAACCATCACATGATAAGCAGCATCTGGTAGTGCTTTTAGACAAACATAAATAATGAGGCACATTGCACTTCAATGCTGAATTTCTAAGGTTGGTATGTGCCTTGGCTTTCTTCAAATCAAAGGAGGAACAAATAATAACACATAAAACCGGAACAAGTCACAAGAAGGGAAAGATTCAGTGTCTGCCAATTTCCTCCATTTCTATATAAATTGGTCCTGTTGACATTAAAATTAAAATTTTACAAGAGAAAACATGAGTGAAAAAAGTATACATTCAAGTTACATTTGAAGATGCAGTTTCTCTTTATATCTATCTGAAAGGTTTTTCACTGTAAGATATAAAAATATCACAAGTTATTTCAAACACAACATTCTAAATGACATTTTATATTTATAACGGGTGAAAGTTACCTGCAAGCTATTATTAAGCAAGTCAAAGTCACTGTATCGCCTCACGATCTGCAAAATATAAAGGCAAAGTTCAGAAAATCTATTACTTTTTCTATTAGCATTTTACTCTTCCAAATCCCAACAGAGAAAAGTAATTCTCATTTATAACCATCTTCTTCTTTTAACCATTTTTGTACAAACGCGTAACTGCTGGACTTAGGTCACATTGCCAGAGAGCAAAGAAAAGGTTTTAATCGCATATCTTGACCAGAATGAAAATGCGTTTCTAAACATTATCTTAAAACAGCTCAAAAGAAAAAAAATATTTGCCAGCAAATTTGTCTGCAAGCAAAGCATTTTTGCCATATTAAAAGCATCAACTTTTCATAGAATCACAGAATGGCTCGCTTTGCAAGACACCTTTAAAGATCATCTTGTTTCAACCCCCCTTGCCATGGACAGGGAGACCTCCCACTAGACCAAGGTGCTCAAGTCACCTTCATTGCCTCTTCCAGGTTTCGTTGTATCAGCAACGCTGTGATTTTAAGACTAATGCAGGCAAACCAGCATTTGAGATTTAAAAATGATAGTTCTACCAATACACAGTGGTAACATGACAGGCATTTTTCCTGAAACATTCATAATAGCAGCAGAACCATGTGCCTTGTGTAGCTGGCAGCAATATCAGTTTTCCCTTAGTTTTTCACCAAAAGTATTCAAGCACTTCATGTTCTCAATTCCAAACCAACATTTCCCTCTCCAGCTCAAATTTTAAAAGCTAGGAAGAGTCAATTTTCAAACTCTTCCTAAATCCTGGCTACACAAACCTCAGTTTAAGAAATTACCTGCCAACTGTTTTCTGCTGAAACTCCTCTCTGAACACGGATTATGTATTCCTAATAAAAGAAAAGAGTTATTAGAAATGAGAACTAATGAGCTGAAGAAAGTTATTAGCTACTTCTGCAAATATGACCATTAATCAAATAGGAAACGCTCAAAATTAGAAAATTCAGATCCAGATTTTAAGCACCTGGGTGCAAGTCAGAGCTGGGTTTGCTCAGAGCCATCACTAGCAGCTGTCTCTGCCTCCAGCAGAAGGCAAAGAGAGGTCTGAGAGCTCCAGGACCTGTGAAGCACTTGACTAGTTTCAGTTAGTTAAAGAAAAGGATGCTAAGAGCTCACAGCACCACACATCTCTACCGACAACAGCTGAAGAAACCTCACCTCCAAGATCTAACGAGTAGTTCCCAAGAATTACTGCCACCATTGTAACAGAATAAAACGCCAGTAAATACCCACAGCTGCCCAACCTCTACTTATTTTTGTACAAGAAAGGTTACCACAAAGGCTTTGGAGCATACTTGAGTAACTAGTATCAGCTTCTTGTGATGACAATAATTCATTTATAACACATGCTTAATGTTAATTATGTATTAACTATACAGATATATCTAAATCTCAGTGAACCACTTTCAAATTTTAAGAATTAATAATTCTCCCTCCACAATTACATTCATAAAGCACAATTCTTTTGAGTCTCTTCATTTCAAGCTTCACTGTACCTTTTGCAGGCTAATGCCTCTCAATACAGCACTATTGTTATTTGGGGTTTATCTAGCTATCTCAAGAATAGATAGCAAGTATTTTGTACACCTACTCAGACATACTTTAAGGAAGACGTGATTTTGTTTACCCCTACGCTGTATAAGTTTGAAAACAGCTCTAAAAACACTTCTGACCTTTCAAAGATCATAAATGAGGCAAGTCCTTTTCCTAGAAAGCCTATAACCTTCATTTTGGATACTGCTTAATTAGCAAGAAAATAAAATTAATCTGGGCTAAGTGTAGTAGCAGACACTTCCTTTACCATTTGCATACATAAAGCTCTATAAACACGGCTCTTCTTAAAGTCTTATTACACAGGTAATCTCATGGCCATATAATTTATATTGAAAAACATGTGAACAGAGAGCCAAAAAGTTAGGTGCTGCCTCGGAATATGCAAGTCCTGGCACTGAAGAGAGCTGGGGAGTAACCACAGTCAGAAAAGGGCAAAGCAGCCACGCAGGTACCTGTGCTTTTACATTTTCCCTCCAGTCATATCAGCCTGACATTGTAGGAGAGGCCTTTGTCCCCAGCACCTCTCAAGCACATTCATCTTCTCTGCAAGTCTTGCCAGGGGTGGCAGAACCCACCACCGTGCGCAAAGTACCACTAAATCCCCTGGGCTGCGCACGCTCAGTTGGACGGCACGGCTACAGAAATCAAAGCCAGAAGTAGACAAACACAAATTCAGGCCGTGAGTGACAGTATTTCTAAGCTGGAACTCGCAAAAAGCTCTTTGCATTTGTGCCAAGCGATGCGTGAGTACCCACCCAGCTACTGCCTGCAGTGCAGCAAGCACCACGTGAGAAATTGTTTGTTATTCAGCTCGGGTGACTTCCTTCACCCTGGTACAAATTTTCACGAGCATTTTGTGTAAAGCGCTGAATAATTTTTCCTTGTCAAATGCCACCTAATTTTGCTGAACTGCTTACATCAATAGGAGTCTGACAAACAGAACGGACAGATCAGAACATTACGCACAATTTTTTCAGATATTAAAATTAATGCTGCATTCCAAATTATAGACAACGATGAAATAACAACAAAACACACAAACATAGTTCCAGCACCTTGAGCTTGTACACCAAATTTGCTCATTCTGTAACAATAACTCTGTCTGGAATGTACCTGCATACCAACTAGATACTTCAATTAATAAAGTATTTGATCCATGAGGTTATTATAAATCTAGCTTCACAATTAAAATTCCACTACAGGCATTTACTAGTAACTTCTTTCAGGTACTGTGAAGTGTCTTTTGGTTTTGGAAGTTGCCTTCTGAACCACATAGAACTAATTCTCCTCTTTCAAATGAAATGAAATTAAAAGCTGAAAACCATACATGTACTGTTGGATGCAAACAAATAAACTGAGGCACACCAGAGAATCCCTCTGTAGAATTAAATTCTCATTTACCATCATGAAAAGTAAGTAGTGTAAATCAAGAATTATGACTATTCCAAACAAGAGGTAGAGGCAACACTTATCAGATGTGTGTCACCTTGTGTGTTCAGCCTTAACTAATCCAGAATTTATTTACTGAAGTTTTCTTCTAAAGCAAAACGCTGTTCAGGCAAAAGTCTGATTCCATTTTCTAAAATTTACTTCAAAACTCCTTTAGCTGTCAAATACCTATATCACCCAGCCTTGAGAACAAATTCAAGACCAGTAAGCATGAAAACCAAAGTGATTTAAAACACTTCATGTCCTAGCAGCTTAGCTGGAAATGGCAGAAATCCAAGATACTACAAACCAAAACACGTAACTATTCTACTGGAATTAAAGTGTCTCTTTCCAGAAAGTCAGCCTGACATGCTCTCTCCATATTCTCTTCTCTTACCCATTTGAAATCATAATTAAGATATTTTCCCGGAAAACAAGAAGCCCAACTCCTCATAAATAGTAACACAAATCCACAGAGCTGACTGCAATTCAACCAGTGCAATTATGTTTGGAAACTGCAACAGAAACTGATTAAAGAGACACCTGGAAACCCAGATTCACCGCTAATGTATTTTTTTTTCCCCGTTTTGTGTTTGTTGCCACATTTTGGGAAGCAGGAAGAGGCTACTTCACACACAACCAAAAAATTGCAGCGACTGCTTACTCAGCAAGTCTCAAAGGAACGTTGGCTGTTTCTCTGACAAAACACGTCAGTGATGATTCACCGAGTTCAGTCATTCATCTTTTCTAGGGTGTTGAAAGAAGCAGGGTTATTGCTCAATTCCTTGTAACACTGTATCCAGTCTTTTCAATTGTACCCCAAAAAATGCTTACGGGCAGGCAGAACACACAAATTCATCAGACAACTGTCAAAGCATATTATTGCATACAAACACTGATCAATACGAGTCATCTCTGCTGAAGGGCCTAGCGATCAACAACTCAGGGCTCAGAGCTCATTCTCACAATAAGATTATATTAAAAAAAAACCAAACCAAAAACACAAAAAAAACACCTCACATTTGGACCACAACTATTTTTTCCACGCATACTCGAACATTTGCTGATCCAGTTCTGGTCTGGCGCCCTAAAGAGGGAGCTCGATTAGTGTATTATGTCATGTTGTTAGGAATCTGAAAGAAGAGAGCATCACCCTCCAAATGTGGTCGGGAGTTCTGTCTGAATGGAAGAGGTAAGTCCTCACCACATTCTCTCCATCAGGGCTGACTGGAATGAAGAACTGGCCACCTCAGTACTACCTTGTCAATACAACGAATGAAAAAGTCTAAACCTGCTTGCTTTTTTTTTTTTCGAAAGTTGATAACGAGACTGAAAGTCCAAGAATAGCTAGAGCAGGAAAGCCACGATAAGAAATACAATCCTATTCCCCCTTATCTGCCGTTGCTACACGTAATCAGCAGACCCCAATATACTGAATTTTAGTGAGAAGCTGATACTTCCTATTGCCCCTGCATGGCAACAAGTTTGTCTCGGGATTATAATTAGCACCACTGATATATGCTTCCCATAGGACCAAAGAGGAGCTTTCAACTCCGCAAGGAAAAAGCCTAAATGTGCAAAAGCCTGTATTACTCTGCCGAGTTCTGTTTTATTTAGGAATAAAAAAAAATCTGAATTCCAACAATTTTCTTCTGAGACAGCCTGATTTCATAGAACCATTGGAAATAAATGAATGCGTAAAGAACACAGGCACAGTAAGAACTGTTTCTGTTTAGCTGCATCATTGAATATAGGAAAATATGATGGAAAAGGCTTCAGAAAGGACTAGTAATTACCAGAGTTTACTCCTGCTGACAATTTTAGGGATCAACAACCAGGCTCAGTGGGGTCTAAGTTAACTACACTCATGAGAACCTCCTGTCGCATCCTTCACTCCTACACGAAGGGCTCAAAATCCTTCCTATGACTCAGTTTCCCAAACAGGTTCAAAGGAGCCCTAACGGCTGTGAGTTAGCAAAGAAAGCTCTTGGCTTGCAGAAGAGAACCAACCTCCCGCTACTGATTTTGCCTGCGGGCAGCAAGTTCACAGACAGCAACTAGACAGGAGCCACCAACCCGACAGGCCATAAAACCGTCCCCCACAACCTCCCGGAGTGCCTCCGGACTCCCACACAGGTACGGTTTCCTGCTCTTCTCCCCACACTGCCAAGCCAGATCCTGCCACAGCTCCAGCAGCAGTTCAATATATGGTTTTAGAGATGCCAAGCAAAGCGGTTTTACCTATGGGATCATTTCCTGCCTTCTCCAATTAGTCAAGAAAACGGAAACGAGTGCTGAGAGGAGGAGTGGGAAAGCTGTACAAGCCCAGCTGCACCCTGTCATTTCCTAAAATCTTCCTAGCACTACAGAGTGTTGGACAGAGTTTCTGACAAAGAGTATTTTTCAAGCTTCCACATAGACCAGTGACAGCCATGCTGCATTTCTCCAGTCCTTTGCCAGTCACTGCTTAGGATTAACATTATCCTGAATTTACCTGTTTTCATGCAGAGGGAGTTTTTTCCCAAATTCACCAAGATTAGTCCCCGGCATTCCAGCACTTGTTGAAACATCAGCAGCTCAGAGCTGCTCTGGTAGTTTTATTAACATCCCTGTTGAATGTTGCACAGCAAAGCATGTCCAAATATGTAACAATTGTTGTTTATCATCCTTCCTAGTTTTTGAAACAGAAAGCAAACATGAAAAGAAAAAGCTTCTGCAAAGACAAAATAAGAAAGAACAAGTGGCGCATTTAGAGATTCGTACGATAAAATATAGTGAGTCTCATCAATATTGAGTAATACGTTCTGTTTTCCCAGGAAAATAGTCTTTAAATTTCTGGCTC